CTAATTTGACTAACCGCCGTCTCTATTTCCGTCTAGTCAACTACTATCGTATATTCCATCGTCTTTGCACTTTAAACCGCGATGAGCTCATTACCCAACCACCTGTTAATATTAGGAGGTCTGAGAGGCTTAATCCAAGTCTGAATCCTCTGCGTGTCGTTGTACCGTTTACTACTCTAACTAATGTTCAGTATTCTTTTTTCTACTCTACTTCGTCTGATTGGAATAATTTACCGTCGTATGTTGCATCAGCATCTAATGTTAAATCTTTTAAAAGCAATTTAAAATTATATTTGAGTTCGTTCTGATCTGTTATATACGTGTATACTACTTCTCTATCAGGTGTATGTCTGTCACTTTTTATTGTAGTTATAAGCCCTTATGCTTTTTGACGTACCTCTTTTGACAAAATTCATGTAACATCTTGTCTTATTACTGTTTTCTTTTTTTCTCTTTTTTTCTATTGTCAATAAAAAATTTAAAAAAATAAAGAAAAAAAAAAAAGAAAAAAAAAGCCATTAGGACTTGTTTTTAAGTATTTCGTATTATATATAAGGGCAAGGTCATATTCACTTTTGCTTAAATATATAGCAACTTCCTTATAGAGACATCGCACACACCTTTCGTGATTATTCGATTGAATATTTTCTATAATATTTAATGCTTTCATTTCATGATCCAATGATTTATCGTAGTCTTTTTTCCTCCGATAGACTGCACTAAGTTGTGAATGACTTTCAAGAATGTCTATATGATCTGCTGATAAATCTATCTCTCTTATATTCAATGATTGCAATGTATAATCCAGAGAAAGATCACATGCATTCTTGTACAAATATACAAGACCAATGTGAAACTGACATGTTGCAATCTCTTTGTAGTGATCCATTTGACTTTTGTATATATCTAAAGACTTTTTTAAATGTTTTATAGACCAGTCATACTCACGTTGTATCGTGTGTGTCATACCAATTATTGCATGAAGTTCTGCAAGCTTTTCATATAACGTTTTAAATAGACTTCAAATAGTGTAGTGCAAAGTACAACGTCTTTGCTTTGTGATGAATGACAGACGAAATCTTTAATTTGTTAGTGTCGAAGATTTTTATTAAAAGCAGTTTAGATTTATTTCGACAAGAAAAAAAATGTACACTGGAAACTAAATGAAACGATACCATCACATATGTCAAGCAAAGCTTGTTAAAGCTGTAAACGCTCACGATTCAAATCTGGAAGAGCTTTCTTGAAGCGGATTTAAATCGATTGTCTAACTCTGATCAAAAAGATTTTAGAGTATTTGTCAAAAGCGATATCTTTTCAACAAAATTTAATGATCTAAAAATGTTTTCGCCTAACATGCCTGAAATCCAGAAAATTTCCTGCAAAGCGAGACATGTATTAGTACTCTACAGATAGTACGGCAGTACAGTTACATGCCATTGGTTAATATTTTTGGTCAGCCACCCTATCTAAGGTGACAAAACGACAAGGAAAAGAATGTGAGCGAAAGCGTTGAGATTAAAAGCTAACACTAACGTCGAGTAGAGTTCAAGCATATCTCTATCTCATTCTCAAAAATCCGATCATTCGTTGTCTCTCTTAGTAGCAGGTCCTGTGGGAACATTTTACCGTAGAAAACACTTTCAAGCAAAATAGTTAAACTGATTCTATGCTGCACTATCAGCCGACTATTTTTCTAGATATTGAACTACTTAAGCGTAACCCCCCTCCATTTTGAAAAAAACTTCGGCTTTGTGCTGAACATATCTTAAGGTACAGGAGCGCCTTGGCTACAAACTAGGATCACTCTCAGCCCTCAACAAATTTCCTTAAAAATTTATGGAATTTCTAGGTTTTCAAGAGAAGGGGGTACGCTTGAAAACAACACAAGCTTTTAAGAAAAAAATGTTTACTGAAATGACAGCGCCGTGACTAGCCATGTGCGTGACCAATTCGCCCTTATTTCGGTCTCGTAAAAAAACCTTTAAGTCCCAGTACTGTGTCAACTGCACCCGTCAATTTTTTTCACAAATGATGCCTTTTTAAACCGCAGTGACATTTGTGAAAGAGAAACTCTATCGGCAAACCTGAAATGGATTAGCAAAACAGTGATCCGACTCATGTCTACGTTAGATAATTTTCTGCCCGTTGGAACAGCCCTATATGACTTTTATATGGCGTCCCACAAAGTGTTTTATTCGTCCACAGGACAGGAAGACCTGCAAGTTAACAAGTAAAAGAAAGAAAATAGTCTTTTTTCTCTCTCAGAACAAACGAGCCGCTTCTTTCCGAGGGAATGATCTGATCCTGTGTTTGCCATTGGTTGCTATACCATCGTTTATGCAAAGGATCGGGATAAGAATTTTGGTTTCATAGTTTTCCTCATTTTTTAAGCGAAACATACCTGAATCTGGATTTCTTATTACAACACAATTACGTAACCATTTTAAAAATGATTGAAATTCTTTATGTACTAGTTGATTTTGTGAATCAGGACCTTCCACTGTGACATCAACTGTTCCACTGGTGTGATTATTTTTCGTCCGTATTTTTACTTGCCGCCTTCCATATATTATTAAGCAGCGACGAATCTCCTTCTTTACTACTGTGGAGAAGTGATAATGGTAATACTCAGTCATCAATCACCACAGTAGTCAGTGGCCCACTTCTGACATAATATACGGATGACGCTTTTGATGTTGTGCTTCCCATCGCCATCGTAAGGGTCCGAATAGATCAACAGGCATTTTTGTAACCAATTTTAAATTTCTAGCTAGATTTTCGTTTACATGTCCTTTGATAATCGGAGACAGAGTAAATTTAAATTCTGTTACCAACTGCTGACGAATAAACAATTCAGCATTCAGTACTTCACCGGATGGACCACGGAGTATCAGTGTTTTGTTACTAACATGTATATGAATGTGTGAAAATTGTTTATTTGCATTCGATAAAATATTAGCGTCACTGAATTTTTTTTCTTCATTTTCATTCAATGGTAATTCACGAACAATAGTATATTCAATCCACAATGATTCAATTTGTCCGACAAAGGATAGGATAGCTGTTGAAACTAAACTTGGTGACTCGAAAATGTTGAATCATTTCTTTTTGTAATCAGAATTTGACAAGCGATTTAAGAGAATTTTTATGATGGCATTTTGAAACGCCCTAGCATTGAATTGTAAAAGTTCTTGCAGGAATTGACTAGACGAGCTATATAATGATCATTGTCTTGGTACCGCTGGGTACAGATGCAGTGAGGGAACCATATTGCAGTGGCCATTGGCCTAGAGAGATGAGATTAAAAAGCAAAAACAAAACTTTTCAGAATTTGGTAAAATGCTTCGGTACCCAAAAAAATTTGTTTTCTGATACTGATCGCTGCATAAAGTCGTTATCAAATGCTTATGTCGACTGGTTGAATCACTGCTATTAAATGTATCGTATAAACAAATCTAAGAGTTTTAGATTCGATAAAATCAACGTCTATTCCTAAACTATTATCATCCATCTGAAATAACATAAATTTAAGTAACTTATTATTCGTCTTATTTCTTGCTCATCGTGCAAACGCTTTCTTAGGTTCACCATCGACCTCTTATTCATTCAGTATAAAGCTGCTGCGGTCAGAGATGTAACCAGCGACCAGTCGGTTTAAACCAGTCTATGTCGGCCCGGCCCAGTCCGATCGAGGAAAAAGACGTAAACTATAATCAATTTTTATTGAGCAATTATTTGTAACAAAACAAAATTCTTTTATTATTTTATAATATTTGTTATATTCAATAACTAGTTTATACAGCTTAGTAACTTTTGGATCATCAATGCGTTCAAATTTGTCCAAAAACAGGAAAGGTAGCTTAGATCCGGTAGTATGTCAATCGTTTTTTACATGTGAATGAATATGTCGATAGTGTGAACATTCCAGGAGAAAATGCGTAACTGTTCAGCCAGATGTTTGTTTTTTTTTCATACTCATTTTCTGTTTCATTTATGTCTGTATACCAGATGCACAAAATTGACTATTAACTAAATTTTTATCAAATAAATCATCTTTTAACCTAGAAAAATGGACTCGCATTTGATTGACATACATGTCGTACTCTGCTCAACATTTTTAAATCTAGGTAATTTAAAATACCGGTTAAAACACCATGAAGTTTCAAGCAAGAGCGAGTCAGTTTAGCCATCTGAAGCAATTCAGCAGGCAGCTCATTCCTTTAGCTTAAAAATGTTGAGCAGAGTACGACATGTATGTCAATCAAATGCGAGTCCATTTTTCTAGGTTAAAAGATGATTTATTTGATAAAAATTT